GTGTGCTCTTTGTTGGTGCTTCGGTGTGGTGCTTCTGTCTGGGGGGGGGGGGGGGATAAAGAAGAGGAGAAAAGGAAGAAAAGAAAACAAAAACAGGGTTTATTGCACTTTTCCGCCCAGTTTTGCAGCCTCCTGCACTGACTTGTTAAAATTTAGGAGGAGGCAGCCCCATGATGGGGCTCTGAGCGGGACGGTTTGGGGCGGGGGTGACAACATATTTGCATTTCACCTAATCCTGGAAGCAGCAGGATTGGGTTTTTCCCACTTTTTCCACTTTTTACTCGGGGAAAATGCAGGAAAAAAAAATCCCGACATCCTTATTGCACCACCAGCAAAGCAAAGGCGGGGGGGGGTAATTTATTAAGGGAGGCTTTGCAGAAGTCCTAGATTAAATCAGCGTAACGCTCGTCCTAGATTAAATCAGCTGCAACGCTTGTCTCCTGCTTGCCGCGATTTTTTTTTTCAAAGCAGGTATTATTGTCTAGACACACAGGCACTTTTAAACTTCCTTCCAAAATTACGCGAGCCTCTTCCAACTCGCCAAGCCCAGGCATGAATCATTTTTGCACTGCGAGAAGCCAGCCAAAAAAAAGGAGGAAAAAGAAAAAAAATCAGCCTTTATTTTCACCCGTGCCCAAATCGCCCGTCTTTAGCCCCGATGCTGTCCCAGATCGCCGACGCAATGGGAATCGCAACGCGCCGGGGCTGGAAATCTGCAGGCAAAATTATGTCTGCTATGTGATAAATCATTCTGCTAACTAACGTTTTGCTTTTTTAAAAACCGCCATTATTTTAGTGAAATATATGTATTTAAGACGTGAGCTGCGTGTGTGCCAGCGCACACGCAAATCACTGCGCATCCTGCCAGCATCACCCCCAAAACCGCCACCCCCACGTGTACAGGATTGCACGTATTTAGGGGCAATTTCCACTTAAAATTAACAATTGCATTAAAGAAATCTGAATTATTTGCTGCCGGGCTGCAGACGGGTCCGACGTACGCCACACGATGCATCGCTTCATCTTCACAAGATTCGGTTAAAAA